AATTTCAAGAATCTTGGGAATTATTTATAGAAAATCGATTTCGAATTTCAAGAATCTTGAGAATTATTTATAGAAAATTGATCGATTTTCCAATATTTATAAAATCGACGCCGAATTTTGATATTTTTGGAAATTCTATGGCGATTTTCTGAATAAAATGAAAATTCAATTTATAGAAAATCGAATCGATTTTCTAGAAAATAGAAAATCGCGAATTTCTAAAAAGTCAGAAAATCTACGAGCATTTTATAAATATCAGAAAAAGCTCCACGATTTTCCAGATCGATTTTCTATAAACTAGAAATTAATTCCAAATTACAGTGTAGGTAAAAGTGAGTAACTGAAAAAAGCTGTTTTTCACTGTTGAGGCGGCAAGCAGAGAAAATTAACGTTTTCATGGCTTTCATACGAGCGTAAACTTTCTCTCATTGCCCACTTGATTTGTCTTGGTTTGTTCATTTGTTTTCCTTTTGTTAGAACTTTAACTTTACTTTTTTAGACGTTTGACAATACTATAGAATTTTTTATTGTCTATTATTTATTCCTCTTTATTCTTTCTTCCTTTCAACGTAGCTAACACATACATAAATAAAAACAAAACAAAACACAAAAAAATGAACCACGGTCGTATTTTAATGTTTAGCGGTATTGCATTATTTATATCTGGTTGTATCGCAGGAGTAGTGATAGCTTGCGATTTATTTACAAGTTACCATGCTGCTGTAGGCGGTCATGTTGAAGCCATATTAAATGGAATCTTGCTATTGTTGGCTGGTGTTGCTCGGCATCACTTACGTTTAGGTAACTTTAGCAAATTTATTGCTCATATTGGTTTAGAAATAGCAGCATGGGTTCATCCATGTACATATTATTGGGTTGCTTATACAGGGTATTACTATAAAATATTAAGGAAAGGAACTGCACAAGCAACAACAAAACCATCAGCAGTAGATGAAGCAATGATCAATTTTTTGTTAATTGGGTGTGTTGGCTATGGGCTTATTACTTCATTACCTTTATTATTATGGAGATTTAGAGGTATTGTCAACCCAAGTGATAATACAATTGCAACTGTACATCCTGAACCTCAAGTCGATAAGAAAAGACAATAATGGTTAATTTGGTTTCTTTGAATATCTTAATTATGCCGAGTACATTTATTTGGCATTATTTTGCACATTTTATTCTCTGCTTATGTCTTAATAGATGTTCACATAGAATGATTATAATTTCACTTTCTGGTCTTAATGCGTTTATCAAATTATTAACGAAGGTCAGAGTAAAAGCCGTTTTTTGAAAAACAGAATTATTGGGAAAATGTTTTTGAATAAATAGAATTTGAATAAACAATTTCAAGTGAACACCTAAGAAGAAAAAAAAACACATGGAAGTGAACATGTTACATACACTCATGAAAAAATCGGTTTTTCTAGTTCTTCATTAAAATAAAAGTCTTGTCCTATTCCAAACAAGCTATGTAATAGTTTATTTCAGTTACATCTGGAAAAACTCATACATCGCTAATAGAAATTTAGTTGTTTTCGTGTGTAAAAGTACAAAATTTGTCATCTGTATATGATGAATTGATCTGTTTATAAACTTCTCAAGATCAGAGAACTATACCTTGTCAACATCGTTATGCATAGTATCTAGTGAGAAGAAGAATCTAAAGAAGAATTCCCCTAATTTTTATAAAGAGCTAGTTCCTAATCGTATGAACTTTGTTATTTGCAGCTTGGGAATTCACTGTTCTCTCCAGTTATGGATGCATAGATACTTGTTTGTATTTCATTGTAGAAATTGTACTAATGATGAGTCGCTCTGGAAAAATAAAGAGTACTGCTAGCACTCTGGAACCAGCCGGCCCTCTGGATGAATAGCACATTGAGGCCATGCACACTCCTAGCAGCTTTTTAACAGTGCAGTGATTCAGAGGTGCTAAAATGATTCTCAAGCTTCAGATAACAAAATTCATACGTTTATTGTTCAAGTTCTGCCATTAACACATATCGTTTGTAACCGCTTCTATCGATTGTATAGCTAGTTTCTCATACTAAATTGTTCTGGTGTTTCTGTTTCATTCTAAACATATTATCCCACATCTATATTTTTTCTTACTCTCTCACATAGTTTAATAGACTTTTTGTTCCATCTTCATTTTAACTTTAACAAATGTATTATTTTCATAAACTGTAAAAAAATATATCGTGGAAGGACACAGTTTTATTACAGTGTAGTATAGTGGAAATCATTCAAGCAGAAAATTTTGTTGTAGAATACCATGTGTGCATTTGTGCGTCTTACTTCTTTGTGTTTTACCTCATCCATATTATTAATCACTGAAGATAACTATTGGATCCTAACAGCTCTATTGACACATCCCCTCTGGAAAGATTGAAGAACTAAGACTTGAAAGAGGGAATTGGTTCACGAAAATAATATACATGATAGAATTTCTTTTGAAGAGAGGCATAATTAGAATATCAAATGATTATTTACATATACATCAAAACTATTAAGAAAAAAGTAGAGCTAGAATGTTCCTGGGAAATCAGACAACCTAATGACATCTTCGATGTCGAAATTAGGAATTGATTCGTTAGAGGCCTGTTCAGCACACCAAGAAGTAATTCTTTTCAGAAAAGAGTCATACTGAATGTATCTCTTGGACCTATGAACTCCCCTCACTCTATATAAACTTCTCAAGAATCCATTAAGTGCTCTTCTATTTTGTCCGAGTTAAGAATTTGTGTGAAAGTAGCAGGACTTCTAGAACCTGATAACGAACGTACTTCGTTTTTATGATATTAAAACTTTGAATCTTAATGCTGACTTTTATCTTAAAATGAATAAAGCACGCGAATGTGTGTTTTGACTGAAGTTGGGTTCAATAAAGTATACTCTGTTTTTTTCTATTCATTGGCTTCTGTGAACACTTAGGGCTAGTTTGTTTTGGAAAGTGTATGATTCCAAATGAATGAAATATTCACAAATACAACATTACATTCTCGAAGTAAAATAAAAGTGAACAGATCAGCTTTGGATCGGTTTTGCTTAAATAATTGCTTAACATTCACCCATGATAAAAATAATCCATGTAAGGGACATTTTTTATGAATAGGAAGTGATAGAAAAATGCATTAACATTTAGTGCAATTTATTATGGCCTCGCGTTAGCCTAGTCAACTAGTCACGATTCCCCGGGAACCCGCCCTAAAAATCCCTGAGGATCCCGTGGAGGTCTATTGATCCACCTTTTTCTGTTTCATATAACTAATTAGTAACTAAGTGCCAGGTACCATCACTAGTATCAGTGTAGCCCATATCAGCCAAGAAAGACGCATTAGTGATGACTTACTAGAAGAAAATTCGTAAAATTTTATCATAGAATTATATCATATTTATATATTGTCTATCTGCAAAACAAAAGGTAAATGGGGAGTTGGCAAGGACTCTACAGGGATTGTACATTTCGAAGACTCCGCGAAGGCATTTTCCCACAGAAAAAATCTCACTGGTTTCACTCGAGGAGGTCATGAATATTGTCCACTCCAAGAAAAAGAAGAAAAGCTCAGATGCTTCTGGTTTATCCAGTTTCATGTTCAATTCTCTGCCCGTTGCACATTGGTCTCTTCTTCTGAAAGTCTTGAATAACTCATTTGAAACAGGTATTGTTCCAAAGAAGTGGAAAGATGCTTCTTCTGGCAAAAACACAGTCTATTTGTGAGCCGTCTTCTACTAGACCAATTTCGTTAATTGATGTTTTCTCCAAAGTTAATGAAAGGTTGTTTACATCCTGAAGTTTTCAACTCGTTCTAATGTTTTTCGAGTGAATGGTGAATTTTTAACATTAAATGGAAACAGCTTGGAAACTTCAGTTTTGATAAAACTCGATTTTTGAACTCTTTTCCCAAAGTAAACATTGGTAGCAGCTTCAGTATGGTCAATTATGTATGTTCCATCCGATTTCAAGGGTACCTAAAGCCACTAAGTGCCAGTCCTGACATATAGAGAAAACCGAATACTATCCCCGAACCACTGAAAATCAAGGTCTCGCTTGACTCTCATTTTGAACAGGATACTTTGGATTATCTGTTCATGAAAAAAAACGAAAGTATTCATACATGAAGTTTTTGAGCTATCAGTTGATTCTCCAAAGATCTCCAGAGAAACCTATCTTAGAAAAATATTTTCGAGTAATATCTGCTAATAAAATGTTTCCCAAAGTCTCTTCGTGTGAGTGGTGAGAATCTGCACTCTCTATCGCATTTCGTTTTTGGTTGAATGTCTATACAAATGTCCATACAAATGTCCATACAAATTTACAAATCGAGTTTATGTGTGGTAAACGTTTTATTATACACACGGTCATTTCGTCCGAACGAAATGAGAACTTTTCCTATTACGAACGTTTCTCTTTCTTGAATGCACGTGCGCCCGACATTTGAGCGACCCCTATAATTAACTACGACAAAATTTCCAAGTAAATACAGAAATAACGAGTCATTCGCATACAGATTATAGCTTTTTATTTCCTTAAGTGTTCCATTATCCATATATTTTATTGCTACATATCTAATGAACTGGCCCGACCATTATACATCTCACAAATTCGCAAACCTTTTCCTGGTTGGTATCGAAATGTACTCAGAGAAATGCTTAGCTGCTGCAAGAACTATGCTTGACATATCAAAGTATAAATTAAGTTCGCTGTTACAAGAGCAATCTAGTTTCAATAACTTAATAGAAGACAATCCTGAGGAGACAGACAATAATGAAGCTGAAGAACAATTTGTAGTAGAAACCACGAACGACTGCAATACTTTTGCACTTGTCAATACTCGTCTTGACTATCAATCACGTTCACCAGAAATGGAAAACATTTGCTTATATGAGTTTGTTTCTCTGTACTACAAGAAAAGGAAAGATAAAAATGACGAAAGGTATTTTTGTAACAAATTAACGAAAACCCAGAGCGAACAGAATCGTAGAGAAGATCTCACGAAGGAACCTCTTGCAGAGTTGTTTAGTGTGTGTATATTGTGATACTGAAGTCCATGAAATGTAGGGATTTCTGAGTCAGAAATCCCTACCGATAGTGACATAAATTTCAAATTTATGTCACTATCGGTAGTTGACGTATATTATGTGTCTGTGCAGACGTAAAGAAGAGAAAAGCGAAGAGGAAAAATTCTTTTAATGAGATGTATGTGTTATATAATAGAGCTGCAAATAGCGATTTTCTTTTCTATTTCCTTTTCTTATACACGTTATATGTAGTGCGTACGAACGTTATAGGCTTCATGGAGATACGAGGTATATGTCCTTCTTTTCATTTTTTTATCTGTATATCACGGTTTGTATGTATACATCACGTGTATTCACTTAGTAGTTATCAGCTATTTGGAAAGGAAAAAACAGTGGTCCGCACTTAAGCGAACAACTATAGACCCTAGTGAAAGTTTTTTTTTGATTTCTTGGCCAAGATCTTGCCCCACGAAATGTCCCAAGATCTTGCGTTTCTTGGGCAAGAGAGTGTCACTTCTTTTTCTTGCATTTCTTAGGGACAAGATCTTACTGCAAGAAATCCAAGAAATTTAATTTCTTGTTCCAAAAAATATACAATCAGATTTGTTGACCCACGAAATCTTGCGTCAAGAAACACAAGAAATAATCTTATTGCAAGCAAGAAAGGTACGTCTTGCTTTCTTGCCTCAAAATCTTGGATCAAGAAATGCAAGAAGTGTTTTCTTACATTTCTTGGCACAAGATCTTAAGCCAAGAAAGCAAGAAACATTTCTTGCTGCAAGAAGTATTCCACTTTCTTGTTTTTTTCTTGCTTTCTTGCAGCTTCTTGCATCAAGAAGTTTCCACTAGGGGATAAAAAGAATTGTCAAACCCAGTGAAAAGGAACTGAATAGAGTGACATCACTATATGCAGGTGATGTATACATACAAACGTGATAGATAGATAAAAAAAGAAAAGAAGGATATATACGTCGTATCTGCATGAAGCCTGTTACCAAGCTGTATTCTTGATGATCATCATTTTATTTGTATAGAATGAAATATTACAACCCAACATTCATGTAGAAGAACTGCCCTATATATACATATCTGTCTCTCTAGAATGAATATTCTAGAGAAGAAAAGCGAAATACACGAACAAAGAAAATAAAAAGAAAATGAATACATACAGAGAGCGCAGAAACAATAGAGCTCTAACAATGCATATAATGCGATCATGCGAATATCACACATAGATAAAAAGAATGAATACACATCTATCACGTGTATATAACTGATTGTATGAATGACTCTATAACACTCCCCCTCGCTTGCAAAAAAATTGAGTCGCAGACTCAATTTAAAAATCAAAAACAAAGCAGAATGATAAACATCGAAAAAGAAAAATTGCTGAAACCAATTATTCAGAAGGGGGCTAGAAATATTTTTCTTTCAGCGCTTTTATGCTCATGTAAAAATTTGAATGCTACCTACTTGAAGCTCATATATATGTAGGAGGAAAGTAAGAACTTACACTCATATAAAAATACCCCGGTACCAATTCACATCGACAGTTTGTTCTCGTGTACATTGTTGCTTACTGACCCATTAGAAGTGTATGTCTTCGCCAACCATATTGGAAAGTTAATGTAGGGTGTTGATAATTGATATATTCTTCGCCGAATGCAATTAACTGCTTTTAGGGCAAATTAATACAAATAATTAATTAATGACCGTTACTACTAATAGGCGACCTTGCTAATAGCCACAATCGAATTACTCACGTCACTATTACTGATGAGTAAATATTTGTGTGACGATAATGGATGTTAGTTATCTAATGTCAATATATTGTTACCATTTATTGCTGTTATTCACGATATTTTGCAGATAGTCTTTGAATTCATGACTCAACCTACCAATGTCAACCAAATGAATGTTTAATCAGAATATACACTACAAAATGATGGTTTGATGAAGTGGAGAAAATGAAGCCTCAGTTTGAAGAATAATCGAGCCATTTTGTTTTCAATCCTCTATAACAATTAGATGAAAATACCGAAGTTGATCAGGCTTGGGTAAATCGACTAATGTGCAGATACGAAGGCTGCGCAGACTTAGGCGGATGAATCGTATGAACCAACTGGATCGAATTTATTCTTCTACTGTGACCTACCGTAACTATGACCTTATTATAGTGGCCGCATCCAGGAAACATGAGCTGGTGAAATGGTGGATGTATGGGGATGTTGAATTTGATATGTTAAATTCCCATTGTTGCGTATTATCTGATATGGTCCGATGTACTTCGGTGAAAATTTTTGATTTATTCCACGATTCCAGATATAAACCCAATCACCGATATTGTATTTTGGATTCCGTCGATTCTGGTCATATCGCATTTTCATTTGATGTTGTTGATGTTGGATATTATCTCGAACCATCTGCTTCGCTTGTACTAAATATTGGTGTAATTTGTGAAGGTATTCTTGTGGTTGAACGACTGATGTTAATGGTTCAGATAAATCGAATAGAAGTCGACAGGGTCGACCATGCATTAATTCGAATGGTGTTATTTTCGTAGTTGCATGAGTGGTTGAATTGTATGCTGCTATCACTTTAGATACTTGTTGATCCCAATCTGTTCGTTTGGCATTGGATAATGCAGCAATTGTGTCCTTGAGTGTGGCATTCAACCGTTCGACGTTGCCATTAGTCTGTGGATGATACGGCGTTGAGCGGATATGGCAGACTCCACACAATTTAACGACATCTTGAAACAGTTGTGCAGTAAAATGAGTGCCATTATCAGATATAATCTCAATTGGAGCACCATATTTCAAAATGATATCCTCTACTACAAATTTCGCTGCTGTCATTGCGGTATTATCTCGCGTTGGCTTGGCTATGGCAAACTTAGAAAATAAATCAATTGCAACAACAATGTATTTATTACCGGTTTGGGATTGTGGTTTAATATCACCTACAAAATCAATTGATATTTTCTCCCAAACTCCATGTGGAGCTTGTATGGGTTGCAAGTGTCCATCAGGTTTTTTTCTTCTACATTTATTGATGGTACAATTTGTACATCGCTGAATATGGCGTTGGATATCTTTGTACATATTCGGCCAATAATATCGAGTTCGTATCTTGTTATATGTACGATCCACTCCTAAATGTGCACCGTTATATGCCGAATTATGATATACCAATAATACATCTTGAATTCGACTTTTAGGCAGTACCGGAACAGGTTGAGCTGCTAGATTACCACGTTTCTTTAATTTACATACAAGTCCAGCAACATTAATGGAGTATGACCGACTATAACTTGGTTTATCAATGTTCTTGAAAATTCGTCGTATTGCACTATCTTCTTGCTGATATTGTTTCAATTGTTCATTGTCGAATACAAGGATAGTATTTGAATTTGTTGATATTTTTGGGTCATGCTGATTCTGATCCAATAATAATGGTGTTGCGATCATGGCTTGTCCGTTTATTGGACCAGGTTGATCGTTCGTACTGATTACTTGTTGATTTTGCGCGTTTGCTTTTGCCATTGATCGCGTAACTACTCCAACACAACCAATTATATTTTCCGTTTGAGTAGCTATGTTGACCATCTCTATATCGTCTTGGGGAAATCTTGATAAGCAGTCAGGCATACAATTAGATTTTCCCGGCAAATAATGAATTGTGAACATATAATGTTGTAATGCCAATCGCCATCGGTCAAGTCGTGGATTATTTTGCGATTGTTTTGTGAGCCAACACAATGAATGGTGGTCGGTATATACTTGAAACTCCGTACCAGCAATATATGGATCCCACAACTTGATGGCTTCCACTATTGCTAAACATTCACGTTCGGTTGTGGTCCATTTTCTTTCTGACGGCTTCAGTGTTTTTGACATGTAGGCAATAGTTCGATTCCCGTCTGGATGAACTTGCATAAGCACACCACCGATACCGATATTCGATGCATCTGTCTGGATTCTAAACGGCAAATGTGGTTGAGGACAATGTAGTACTTGACAGCTTGTTAAAGCATCCTTGATTTTTTGAAAATCCTCTTCTTCTTTTGCTCCCCATTTAAACTTATGATTTCTACCATATTTTGCAAATTTATGTAGTGACGCAGCCAATTCAGAAAAACCCTTGATATGGTTTCTATAGTATTCTGCTGCTTTAACGAACGATACGGCCGCCTTAGCATTTTTTGGTGTTGGTATTTTTCTGATTGCTGAAACTTTTTCTTCCAATGGAAGGATTCCATCGTCGGTGATTTGATGCCCCAAGAATTTAATTCCTTTTTTGCATATGTCACACTTATCAGTATTCAGCCGAAAATTTGCTTTGGACAACGCTGAACAAACTTGATCTAGATGCTTGATGTGATCATCGAATGTTTCCGAATAAACAATGATATCGTCTATGTATGCCATACAACAATCCCAACGAAGTTGACCTAAAGTGTTGTCAATAATTCTCTGGAATGTTGGTGGTCCATTTTTGATGCCTTGTGGCATAACATTGAATTCAAATAGACCTCTTGATGTTCGAAATGCCGTTTTGGGCTTATCTTCTTCCGCTATAGGTATCTGATGGTATCCCGATTTGAGATCGAGTTTGGAATAGTATTTGGCTCCGTTCAAGTGATCAAACATGTCACGTATGTTTGGCAATGGATACGAATCTTTTTTTGTATGCATATTCAGCAGCCGGTAATCGATGCAAAATCGAGGTGTTCCGTCTTTTTTCTTGACTAACACAACAGGAGCAGCCCATGGCGAATTAGATGGTCGAGCTATATGTTTTTGCAACAGTTCATTGGTTTGTTGATCGATCGTGTTATTATCCGCTGGTGATTTTCGATGAAGTTTAGCTTGTTGTGGCCGTGCTCCTTCAACAAGATCAATAGTGTGTTTGACTGTTGTTTTGATGGTAGTATGTGTTGTGTTATCAAACAATTGTGCGTGTTTACGTAATATATTCAACAGCTTGTCACGATCAGGGCGGTTTGGAAGATGATCCGCCATCATTTCAACTTTGGAGTAAACTTCCAATGGTACTGGTATTGGACAGGGTATAAAATGTTTGTTTTTGTACAAATGTTGAAACAATTGACTACGTGCTGAAAATGATTGATTACACTGTTTACATGTGGTGGTATTCTCCTTCGTAGCCAATTTGTCATTTGATTTATTGAGTACCGCGCACACTGATGTTCGTGGTGGATGTGATACTGTTCCAATGCATTCATGGGTTGTAATGAGCCTCGGTGTTTGCATCATATTTATAATTACTATAGATGTAACATAGTCATAAACCTCCACGACCGCATTTGGCAACAGTACAAATTTTGTCTGTCTAATTTTTGCATTTGGCTCAAAAAAGAGTGTATCTGCCATCGGGACTGAGGTGCGGACTGATACAACCCGTTGTTCATTTGGTTTCAAAGTAATGTTTTTCAGTACATAGACTGGATAGTATTGGTCATCACAATCCTCGAATGGTACATAAAAATTTTTTCGGTTTACTTGAATACGATTTTGAGATTCCAAAATATCAATATTATTTTCAAATGTCCAGTTACGACCAAGCAAGAGAGATGTACATAATTGTGATGATATTTCAACGTCTACTATGGTAGTATATCTGGTAATGTGACCACCTCTCCTATCTTCAA